CAAACGTACTTCCAGGAATCTATCTCAAAGACACGCAAATACTAAAAGAAGGTGAGTTTAGTGTAAGCCCTGACATTTTTTTTTTCTTATTTGGAATGTAAGTGCTTGGCTTAAATTCTGGTTGCCAAGACAACATCCATTTCAAAGAGACATCTATCTCTAATAAACACACTGGCAGCCTCAGGGCTAGATAAAGAGCCAGGCCACCTCACCCACAGAGGCTCTTTATTTTAGAGATCTTGGTTAATTTCAGTAACTGACCATTTGGGCTGCCTGTTTGTTTTCTCTTCCTGCACTTTAAATTCCTGCTCTTATGTTTTAAATTCACCTAGAAAGAGTAGACCCATGAACCCTTAGACTCCCACCCTATATCCCAATAAAAGCAGAACCCCAGGCCCGTACGCTCTCTCTCTACCTGTGACCTCCATATGTGGCCTGAGTAAGGTATGCTTTCCAAGTCTTCTAAGTAACAAACCCATATCTTTCAGTGTCCTGATGGCTCCTGGTGAAGTGCATCTTGCAATCTTACCAGAGCCACATGGGCCGCTCCAGCCACACTGCTTATTAATAGGCTGAGACCAACACGAAACAGTGAGAGTATTCACCATGGCCTATTTATAGTATCGAAGGATTGGAAACAACAGAAACGGCCATAAACAGGGTATCAGTTCAATAAATTATAGGCTACCCACATCATGAAGAAATGTGTAGCTGAAAAATGAAAGAGAAGATTCTAAGTATTGATAGTGATTCTTATCTCCAATAAATGTAAATGAAAAAACAAATCAAGGTACAAAGCATGACTCCGGGGCTGTGTGGTGCGCAGATGGATGCCCCGCCCCAAAGATGTCCACGTCCTACCCCTCAGAACCTGTGAATGTGTTACTTACGTGGCAAAGAGACCTGCAGATATGCTGAAGGTAGGGATCTTAAGATGGGAAGACGATCCTGGATCATCAGGTGGGCCCAAAGTCATCCCGAGGGTCCTTATAAAGGGAGGCGGGTGCGTCAGGGTCAGCGAAGGAGACGTGATGACGGAAATGTCAGACAGCAAGAGAGAGGGACTGGAAGATGCTACATTGCTGGCTCTGTGGATGAGAAGAGGAGCCGTGAGCCATGCGGGTGGCCTCTGCGAGGGAACGGATTCTCCTCCACAGCCAATCCGTTTCAGATTTCCGAACTTCAAACTGCAGGAAAATAAATGTGCAGTGTTTTAAGCTGCAAAGCTATGGTAAGTTGCCACAGCAGATATAGGGAACTAACATGGCCTTTCACGTCAAACCCTCACTGAGCCTCGGTGTAGTCCAGCAGACCCACAGAAGTTTCCTACCTGCTGCAGGTGAAGGATGGCATCTTTCTCCCCGCCAGGGACCTCATCTACAGCTAAGCTAAGTGGCGAGGGGAGGGCTGGCACCCAGCCAGCTCACAGAGCCCCACGAGGAGAGGAAGCTGAGAAGGTGCCGGGGACTCTGTCAGGCCGTGAGTACACATTCAGGGTCTTCAGGCAGCTAAAGTCTCACATGAGGACAGGAGGGGGCTCTGCTCAGGTTAAAGATTCAGAGACTCCTGTCCCCTCTAAAATACGCTGGTGCTGGGAGGGTCACAGAGAAAGGGCCAGTCAACACCAATGCTGCCCAACAGAACCATCGGTGATGGCAGAATGTCCCGTAACTCTGCTCTGTCCAGGACAGCAGCCGCGAGCCACGTGTGGCTACTCAGCACCTGAAATGTGGCCAGTGGGACTGAGAAAATGAGATTCTAATTGTATTTTAATTGTATTTTTCATTGGTTTAACTGAAATGGTTACATGTGGCTAATGGCCACCGTCGTGGAGGAGACATACTCAAGCCTGACTTCCTAAGATGTGGAGGAGGGGGCCCGTGAGTGGCAAAGAGTGGCGGAACATGGACCTGGGAAAGAGCACTGCCTACACGTTAGCAAGGACAGCAGCTAGGAGCACAGCGCGTGTTCTGTGCCATCGGACAAGTGCATGCGTGAATTAAGCACTGTTATGTTACCTTAGTTCTAAACTCTAAGGCCTCGTATTTCTACTTCTTTCCTCCTCCACAGCCACTATCCAAGCCTAGGGAACAACCGTCTTATTTCTAAACTTCTTCCTAATACCGCCTATCTTCCCTCTTAAGCCCTCATTCTTAATCCTGAAGTCCATTTTAACTCACGTGCAAAAATCAAATGCTAACCACATCATCCTGCTCGCATCTCTTCAATGAGTGCCCACTGGCCTTAGAATACAGCCCAAAGTGATGCCTGATCTGGTCCCGCCTGACCACCTGTCCAGTTAGCTCACACCCCTTCCCTACTTTGTTGTTCTGGCTTCAGCTGTCCCTATCCTCCCAAGTTCACAGTACACCAGGCTCTCCTGCCTTAGGGATTGTTCTCATGCAGCTCTCTCTGCCTGAAATGCTCTCTTAAACGTATCCCGACGCCTTCACTCCAGTAGAGTCCTATGACCAGCTAAACCCAGTGCCAACCTTAGCTCTCAAGCTAAGTATCAGTCCTTCTCAAGAGGGCTTCCCTGTTCCCTCAGATTGGGTCCTCCACACCAAGCTCCCACATCACTTGCACAATCAGCTGTTTACATTTCACCTTCCCTGTTAGAAAGTAAGCTCCAGGAAGGCAGGACAAGGCCTGGTTGGTACTACAGGGTCCCTATGCACCTGTCCCAGGGCCTGGCTTATGGAGATGATGAATTATTCTGCTTTGCCTACAACTATCCTTGTTTGAACAGTAAATGTCTTGTGTCCTGGCAAATCCTCAGTCATTAATAAGTGAGAATGGCTGGTCACCCTAAATCGTGCATTCAAAGAATATCTATTGCATGACAAGCAAATATTTCTCTCAAGAATGTTATAGGAAAGCCAGTAAAAGAGGCGTGAAGGCATGTATGTGCGCGCGCGCACACACCCACACCCACACACACACACACACAATGAATAAAACCCAACAAATATAAAATTACTTAATATGCTTCTCTGCAATATGAATCATCAGACTTATTTCAAAAAAGTTTTAAGGGACAAAGTTAATTTCTATTAGAAGGCAAGTTGTGGAGGACAATCTTTAGAAACTTAACACCCCATCCTTTGATCTACAAGCTGTTGCTTAATATTCTTCCACATGATTTTAAATCTCATTAAGAAAAAAATAAAAATCCACTGGCCCTAAATACATCTGGTTGCTGGTCAATTTAATTTTAAATTTCTGTTACTAGCATAAAAAAGTTCAAATCACTTCTGCCCTCCCATGCCCCTATAATCTGAATCTTTGTGGAGGATTTACAGAACTTCAGAGGTCAAACTGAGAAGGCCTGAGGAACGCTGCTAAGAAGGCCTGCTGGTGGGAAGACTTGCATACATGTAAGAAAACTATATTGTTATACTTATATATGAAACCCTAAAAGTTTCAGTATTATGGAATGCAAGTCAATATGTATTTCTATACTGTTATACATACGTAGTTATTTACATGTTTGTTTAATGTGTCCTTATTTGCATATTTACTGAATTACACACACAAAATCACACACACCTTACTACCTTTCCCTTGAATCTAATCCATCAGACATAAATAATTTTTCTTAAGATTCTCTCACTCAGCGATCCCTTGTGTTCACAATCCGAGCTCAGGAACGCTCGTCAGCAGTTCTTCTGCACGATGGAGGTGGCGGGAGCCTGTCGTCACAGGCTGCACAGTCCTCACCTGGTCACACAGAAATCTTCAGTCAGCAAGGAAAAGGGAGCCTTGAGGCTGGTTTCAAATCAAAGCTGAGCTCCAGAAATGCTTTTCTTGTCTGAGGAGGGGAAAAAAAAGGCACAAAGATTGCTTTTGAGGCTTTTTACCGGGCATAGTACAATTGTTAAATGGAAAGGGCACCCCATGCACGTTTCTTTTCTGTATTCACTGGTTAATCTATAATTGCTGGCTGTTACTGGATTTTCCCAATTCCCATCCAGCCATCTGCTCCCCGAGTGGGAGAAAGCAGTTTCGTGCTCGCTCGCCCCATTTGGCTGGACAGTGTTTGTGGTGACTCGCAGACACCCTAAATATGGCTCCTCGCTGGGGATCCAATAAGTAACTCGGTTGACTTTAAACAGTTCACTCAGGGTCTCTGAGATTTCAAGGCCTGGGAGCAGGGTGCCCTAAACCTCGGCACCACTGACGTCTGGGGCCCCGTGGCTGCGTGTGGGCCGTCCTGTGCACTGCAGGCCTAGAGCAGCATCCCTGACCTCCACTCTCTAGTTGCCAGTAGCAATACCCCCATTAGTAACAACCCAAACAACGACCGCAGACCCCCTGAAAGTCCCCTCGCAGCAGAAACCGCGCCGGGCGAGGATGATGGACGCGCGCTCTGAGGAGGGGACCGCTGCGTTCAGAGCTGGGGGGTAACAGCAGCTTCCGGCCGCCCACCGAGACCAGCTCAGCGGAGGAGCAGGGGTCCCGGGAGGCCGCAGGCCGC